CATGTTATACACACAATACAAAAAATATATCTGATATATCATGTACGGATTTGCGCGTGACTTAAATATTAAAAAATAGATAATTGTATTAGTAAAATCCGTAATATTTTAACATATTTTTAACGCAAACAATCTATGTGTACAGAACAAAAATATACAAATTCTGTATAATGAATAAAAGAAATAAACAATGTAAATAGGGGAAAAATACATATATATAACGAGCAATCCTGCATTTTCCTATACACCTATACTTAACGGTGGCAACTATTAGCTAGATTTTGTAAAGTGCATATGCGCGTATTATCTATAGTTAACGTAAGGCGTATTATAGATAAATGCGTGTATATGCACTTTACGGAATCCAGCCATTATATTTTGTCCACTAATAAAATGCTTAAATAGTAAAAATTAAAAAACTTAAATAGTAAATAATAAATAATTGTATTAACAAAATCCGCAATATTTTAACTTTGCAAAAACTTGGCGAAAAATGTATTTAAAACTTTATGAAAAAATTGCATTTTGACGCATTTGAAATAAATATTTTCTTCTTTTCAAATTCTAGTATATATATCTTCCATCCAAATTTTCTCGTACTCGACCGCCCCGTGGATATCTCTTTTCTTTGTCCTCCTTCTCTCTATCCCAAGCATTTGGTCATAGTCTATGCCTGTCCACGTCGCAGTAAGCCTCGTGCGTTAGTGCATAGAATATCAATCGATTCATTAACAAAAACTCAAACTGCAAGTTGTTTTTATATCGTACGTGTTGTTATACATATTTTTATTGCTTAAATAATGATTTTGATACAGAATTTACCTTCTGAAGTTATTTTAATAATTCTGGAAAACGTAACTATTAGCTTGAAGGATGTTGAAAATTTTGGTTCCACGTGCGTGCAATTTCAACGTATATCCCATGATAAAAATCTCTGGAGAAAAAAGTATGCTGAGAGGTAAGTTCTCTTTATGTATGAACTTTTTTGTTATATTATTATTAGATACATCGCAAAAAAGATACATTGCAAAAATTGGGCGAAAAAAATATTTAAAACTTTACGAAAAAGAAGTATATTTGAAGCAATTAAAATAATTTTCTGATATCTAATAAAGAATTTCGAAATAATTGTAAATTAAGATATCTTAAAATTAATTTATACCTAGCTTTTCAAATTTGAAAATATTTCTAGATATTGTATCGTTTTAAATATGTTTGGATCAAAATTCTGAATAAAATTGTGCAAATTAAAAAAAAAAATAGTTGAAATATATTATAAGGTAGGAAATTTGTTCATATTTAAAAGATTTATGAAAACTTTTAAGTTCTATAATAAACAATTTTTAAGAACTAATTATTTGTTATATAAGAATCATTTTGAGAATATGTTTTTTTATATTAATAATAATTTTTTGTTACATTATTGATAATTACTCGTGCAGTTGTAACAATGTAACTGTAACTAAAAAACTGAGAAAGTAATTATTTTATACAAAAGTATATATTTTAATTAAAAAAAGATTATTAATCAAAGGCATAAAACATTCTATATTATTACCATTTAAAAAAATTAATAAATATACATCATATACTTATAAACAAAAAAAGTATGTGGCTAATATATTATTCAGTCCATAGAAATTTTATATATTTTGATATGATGATTGATGATTCAAGCTGTATTTTCTCGTATTGTTTAATATTATAACAATCTAAACATTATTAAATATTTATATTATCACTACATTATGCAAATGTTATATAATTAAAACCACAATCACCAAAACCACGTGAAATACTAATAACTGAACATTTGTAATGTATAACGTGTATAATATAAATATATAGGTAATATATTTATATACATACATATGTGTGTAATATAATTATATATTTCATCGCGCTATGGCGTAATAATAAAATAAAATACACATTTCCTTACTATACATTACGCTTCATTACAACATCGCGATCAAACATAAAATATCAGTTAGTATTATATAAAAACAAATGTGTTCAATTTTTTAGTATAATTTTCGAAAAAATTTAAAGTATTTTGTGTATTAAATTTTAGATGGCCTTCTGCGAAGGTACATTTCAAAAACAAGTAGGCGTCAAATTTGTTAACGCCAATATTGAAGATTTAAAAGAGGGTATGAAATGTGCAGAAGACTTGTGGCTATACGTGTCTCGTCTGCCAAGATGTATTACTGTGGAATAATTTATTCGAATATTAACTTTGAGGATATGGAGGATACCAAATGTATGCTAGATATTAAACGATATATCTCTCTACATAAAAAAAAGAACCCTTTGAATGTATACATTTTATATGATGAACTTATTAGAAGCATATATCAGCAAAATCCACAGTATGAATAAATATATTTTAAAATATTATTAAAATTTTAGTATGTTAATTGATTATTGTATATTAATTTTACAATATATACATTTTTCAGCCAATCCAATTTAACAAAAAGACACTACAGTATAAAAATATTTCGACATTTGAATACATATATTTTTCATAAAAAATGGTTAAATTTGAAGAAATATGGGTTAAATATAAAGAAAGATCCGTAACAGCACAGTGTTTGAAAAATATGTTTGTCTCAATATTACAATGGTGTCATCCCGATAAATATATTACTGACTTGCTTTTCGATAAATTTATAGACAATATTGTCAAAGAAGTATTACAGTCTTTGAAAAATAAAAATTCTCTGCATCCAATATTGTCGATATCGTCTAAACATTTCTCGATTTGGAGAAATAATCATATTGATAAAAATTTTGGAGCGAAACGCACGCAAAGTCGATTAAGTGTGAACTCGACAAAATTATCATAAGTTTTGATTCTTATGAATCATGGATGGAACCAAATCAGATAAGTACGAAACTGCTGGTACGTCAATTTTTTTACATATGATGTCTTTTATTAACTATGATGAATTAGAACTTTTTAAACTATCATAAATTTAATAATAATTTTCTATTATAATTATTTTTATTATATGATTACACTTATTGTTCTTTGACAGACTAAAAGACATATACTATATTATAAACATATGTTGTGGGTGAATATATATATCTACGTTGTTGCAAATAGATTGGGTTTACATGTTGTAACAACACCATCACACAAGGATGTAGCAATAGACAACGGTTTTAATCCAAAAGATATACATTTGGTTTGGCAATCCAGGTAAATATATAATTCTATCTCTGAAATTGTTTTTATTTATATTGTCTCGTATTTGTATTATACGCATTAATAATTACACGCTAATACTCCTGTGAGAAATGATGATAAAATCAACGTCGATTCGTTGTCGAATTGATGTCAATTCGTCGAATCGATGTCGAATCGATGATTATTCGACCAATCATTTCTCACTGGAACTCACATGTATTAATATATATTTATTATTATATATATTAATTAGTTATTATATATTATACAGTCCGTTTCTAAAAAAAGCATATGAGGTACTCGCATATCTCGAAGTTTATTGTTGTTTTTTCGCAATACTGAATGGTTCTCGATATGGGTGATATTCAAGCATTAAATGACTATTATCGCGAGGGGTATTGTTTTACAATAAAACAATGTTAAAAATAAAATAAAATAAAATAAAATAAAACCACGAATCCAAATCAGACATTGTCGCGCTCATAGCGCGCGCTTGTGTTGTCTAGTTTAAGAAAAAATTCACTGATGCCGATTTGTGTTATATTGCGACAAATTAGACAGTTGAGAGAAACCATAGACAAATATACAGAGTGAGTCATTTTAATCAATACACGTAATTTTTTAAAAAATATTATTATATTGTGGTTATGTTTGTGACACAATTAAAGATATGCTTGTCCATGGATCCTCTAAAATATTTCATTTATTGCATTTAAATATAAGTCGATGTTTCAAAAATATTATTCTAAAAATTTTCGTTTTTGCATAAGCTTAAAATTTATAAATTTCTCTAAAAGTTAGAATTATTTTTGTTATATATCTTAAATTATACAATTAAACTATTCCAAAAAATTGATGATTGAATCATGTTATATAGCTTGTTTCTCTAAAACAACAATTTTATATTATATATGTGAGCTTATATTTTGTAAATTATTAAATTGAATTTTTATTTCAATACAAACCTTTATGTGCAAAATGATTTGAAATTGAAAAGTCGATAAGATAATTTTATAATCTCATTTATAAAATTTTAGAACAATTTTTCTTTTACAAAACTGCATCAGTAATTAATTATCTTAATTCATGTTTAAAGCTAAAATTTATTTTATATGCAGCGTGTTCCAATAATCTTGCTACAGTCAATCATCTCGAAAATAAAGCATTTTGTACAAAATTGAGACAAAAGTTATAGGATTTAATAAGGTCTATTTATTAACTTTATTTTTCTCTTATTTTTAATAAAAAATTTAAATTTTTATAAATTTTAAAAAATTTAATAAATTTAATTTATACCATTAGAAAGAATATTATTTCGTACTTTCAACAAATAATATGAACAAGATTTTACTTAAAGATTAAAAAAAATAAACTTTTGGAAGGAAACCATAGATAAAAAAAATTGTTTTAAAAAAGAATGATCTGATTTTAAAAGGTATTAAAGAGAATATTAGATTAATCGATTTCTAAAGTAGAAGGATAGTTTGGATTAACGTGTATTGACTAAAAAAAGATATACATATAATCTAATTTAATATATTACATTAAACAAATAAAGTATAGAGTAAATTTTCTCTTTTGTTAAAAAAAAAATTAGTTTCTAATAGATTAAAAAATTTATAATTGAATAAATATTAGCTTTTAACATCTTCATTACACTCTGATGTACATATATACATGAATTGTTCTTTATTTTTTATACAGAAATTGTACAGAAAGTACAGAATGTTTCATATTTGAATGGACAGATGACCAAGATAATTTAAAAATTTCTGACATAAAAAAATGCGACAAGTGCCCTTGTCCAAACACAGTAAGTAATTATTTGTAAGTAATTATTTATATAAAATATCGATAGAGGTTTAAAATTTTAAAATAAATAAGATTGGAACTGACAATCTTTTATGCTCTATTAAAAATTAAAATCATTATATGATTTGATTATGAGAGCAGTAACGTGTGTGGGGCAACGCAAAAAAAAAATTGTTTTATATACTTATCAACTCATTTAATTATTTATAATTAATCACAAAAAATTACAAAATAACAACAAACCTTTTTTGGGCCTTCTTCAGCGCAATATTACAGATATTTAATCAGTGTAGAATTAAAATAAACGGTCGGACAAAAAGTCAAACATTGACATCACGCAACGATTAAAATCGACAAAAATTGTGTTCTTGAAAAAATGACAGTAGGAGACACCGTTTCACGTTCGCTGTTATTTTATAATTTTTTCTGATTATCTTAAAATAATTAAATGAGTTGTTAAAAATATACACAAGTTTTTCTTTACGTCGTATCATACTTGTTATTGCTCTCATAGCCAAATAATACAATAATTTTAATTATTTTAGGCTTTTACTATCTGATGTTTATAACTTCAAAACTGTACGAACATTTAATGCAGGAACGTTTGATAGAAAAGACACAATCAGCGACGTTTTTTCTTTAAAATATTTTAAGAACATTAAAATCGATGAACTTGATTAGAATAAATTAACAAAAGCATATATAATATACAACATTAGTTTTAGATTATACAATTCCAAAAATCCATCTAAATTTATTTTTTTTTTTTACACACATATATTGAATTTAATCATTACATATGATATCATAAGTGATTTTGATTCAAAATTTAATAACATTTTTTTTAAAGTTCAATTCGCCAAGGAACGAAGACGAGAGGGACCTCAATTTTTTACTTCACTCTCTTTTAAATAATAGGATAAACAATGTATTATTACCGTTTGAGGTAAGGCAATTGAATTTACTTATTGTACATATTATAAATTAAAGACATGTATTGACATACATAATAATTTTTTGTAAAAATTTTACTAATTATAATTATTCTTAGTTCAAATTATTATATTAATATAAATTACATAATATATATAAAGCATCAACTGTGCTAATTTTTCAGCCAATATTTACTTCAAATGAAGCGTTTGTCCATGAAAGATCGCCTGATCTAATATTTGCGATTGGTATGATAGTTACACATACGCATAAAATGAAAGATAATACACGAAAAGATATTACTGGTGTCATTATTGGGTGGCACAACAAATGCCGCAAATGGATTCGATATAAAAACAAACGTTGTAATCCGAATAAAATTAAAAAAGAGTGTATCAGAAATATAACATTAAAGATTGGAAATCGCAACCATACTACGTTATGTTAGTTGAAAATGACCTGTGTTATGTTCCGCAATGTACGAGAATTATATGCTTCAATATACTTTATATTTATATTCTATGATATTTTTATTTATATTATTTATGATATATGTATAATAAATTTGATAATTTTTATCTCTACGTTTTTATTTTAGGTGCTATAACATCGACATGCGAAAAATGGATAGACAATACAGAAATTGGAAGATATTTCTGTAAATTTGAAGGCACTCATTATGTGCCAAACGAAGAAGTACTAGAACAATATTATCCAGACGATGCCGCAGTCGTTCGCGAAATATTGAGTAGTCGTAAATAATATAATATTTGGATGGTGCAGAAGTGTGTATGTGTGTGTTTGGTGTCTGCTATTTTAACGACGGCCTAGGTTAAAATCCAGATTAAAATTAAAAATATTGGTCTATTTGATACCCATCTCTCAGAAGGCAATGATTGTAAAGTCATCTAGAGCATTCTGCAAAGAAAGCAGTATTTTATAAAATCCGCAATATATATATGTAATATAAATATTCCTGAATATATATAGGATATAGAATGCAAAATATTTGAAGCCAAAATTTGACGAAAGAACAGAAAAGATAGAAAATGTGTTAAATCAACTGAGAGAAGCACAAACGAAAAACGATAATTTAGAACATAAAATTATAACAGACAGTTATATTTTAAACACACACTTAGTATATAATCACAACAAAAGAAAAATAAAACAAAAAAAAAAATTACGAAAACGAATTACCTCTATTCACAAATATCGATTTTCTGTGTGCTACTGTCGTATTTAATATATAATATATTTTTTTTTTTTTGATAACAGAAAAAATATGATTATCAGTATACAATTATTATGGCTATAAACATTATCAAAAACAAATAAATATAATTTCTACAAATTTTACAGATAATTAGAGTTTGTTGCAGAAATAGAAACAATTTAAAAATAATATTAAGAAAAAAAATTAATAAAGTTGTAATAGAAATAACTTAGCTGGAGGCAAAAATTTCTATTATTTTAGGACGTACATAGATCATTTAGAGTTTCGTATAATGCAAACAATAGAACGAGATCTGAAGAGAGCACAAAAAAAAGAATTCTTTCTACCACTAAGGAAGCAGGTAGACAAAATCCTTGGGCCGAGTCCAAGAAAGGTCGTTGTGAAACTCGAGTGAAAAAAAAGACATATTATATATTATATTATACCTTATATTTTTTTGTCCTTCTCTCCCTTCCTGAAAGAATTAGTCATTCCCAGTCTATAGCTGTGCACGACAGACAATAAAGCTTGATCTACAATGTGCTTTTTGCGATCTTGCTTTCTAGCTTCTTGGTGTTTTATTTTACCGACTAGAGTTCTTCCACCTTTATCTCAGGCAACAGGTAAAGAAGAATTGTCGTGCAGTGGGCAAAGAACACGAAATAAAACACAAAGAGCACATTGTAGATTGGTCTTAAGTCTCGTGCTCTCTACAAAGCAGAGTTAGTACATAGAATATCAATCGATTTTAATAATTCTGAAAAATGAAAATATTAGCTTGAGAGATGTTGAGAACAGTGGGAAAAATAATTATTTTTCACACTAAGGAAGCAGGTAGACCAAAATTCCTGAGCCAAGTCCAAGAAAGATCGTTGTGGAAACTCAAGTAAAAGAAATATATACCTATTATATCTTTTTCTTTGTCTCCTCCCTTTTCCCTTCCGAAAAGCATTTGGAGAATTCCAGTCTATGCCTGGCTATCCACGATGCACTAAGCCTGGTGCGTTAGTACATAGAATATCAATCGGTTTATTAAGAAAAATTCAAACTGCAAGTTGTTTTTAAATCATACACGTGTTTGTGTTAAAAATTTATGTCCCGTAAACAATGATTAACATAACGGACTTATCTATAGAGATTATTCTAATAATTCTAAAAAGCGAAATTATTAGCTTGACGGACCTTGAGAACTTTAGTTCCACGTGCACAAAATTTCAGTGGATATCAAATGACGAAAATCTCTGGAAGAAAAAGTATGCTCAGAGGTAAGTACTTTTATGTATGAACTGTTTTGTTATTTTACTTGATGAACACGTCGCATAAAAAGGAACTTCGCAAAAACTTGACGAAAAATGTATTTAAAACTTTGCGAAAAAGAAATACATTTTAATTTTGATATCTAATGTAGAATTTCGAAATAATTGTAAATCGAGGAATTTTAATATTAATTTATACCTAGCCTTGCAAATTCGAAAATATTTGTAGATATTGTATTGTTTAAATATGTCTGAATCAGAATTTCTGAATAAAATTGTTGCAAACTTTAAATAAATTATAGTTGGAATACATTATGAGGTAAAAACTTTGTTCACGTTTAAAGATTTATAAAAGCTTTTAAGTTCTATAATAAACAATTTTTAAGAACTAATTATTTGTTATATAAAAATTATTTTGAGAATAAATTTTTGTGATATTAAGAATAACTTTTGTTACTTTATTGATAATTACTTATGCAGTTCTAATCGTTGTAATAATATAACTGTTAATAAGGTGTTTTTTCGTCCAACAATAATTCAAAAACAATCTAAAATACTAAAAAGTAATTATTTTATACAAAAAATGTACATTTTAATTAAAGAAAGAAATATTAATCACACACATAAAATATTCTATATTATTAACATTTAAAAAAATAGATAGTAAATATATATATCATACATATAAACAAAGAAAGTATGTAGCTAATCAATTATTCAATCCATAGATATTTTATATGACATTTTGATATGATGATTGATGATTCAAGCTGGATTTTCTCGTCATATTGTTTAATATTAAAAAAATTGCGCGCGATGTATTCGTTGTTTTCTGCACGTGCCACATACATTATTTTTAAAATGCTTGTCGCGAAAGTTCAATTTTTGATTGCTGTTTAGCGTGAAAATGCGGAAAATGGCTTATTTCTCAACGAATCAATGTATGCCTTACTTTACTAGTGCGAGAAAAGCATATCTTTATGTTTTACTTTACCGCACTACCCTTGTAGAAATTTATCACTAGTAACGCCAATTAATCACTTATTTCGAGTACCTAAAATTTTGATATATATATACTAATTTGAATACTCGTAATAACCCAGTAAACACAAAGTAACAGTTACATAACATCAATGTTATAATTTCCCACTCAATAATATAACTGTTACGTACAAGCTATGTTATATTGCGGTTATATTATTAAGTGGAAAATTATAACATTGATGTTATGTAATTGTTACTTTGTGTTCACTGGGAAGTGATTAACTACTTGAAATAAGTGATAAATAGGCGTTAATAGTGATAAATTTTTATAATGGTAGTGCGATAATATGGGTTACTATATAGTTACTTTATTACACTAGTGCATAAAAAATCTTCTTTTTCATAATTAATTGGTTGATAGTTTCTGTTTTATCATTTCTCGACTGATTTAACAAACTTGAACGTAACGAAATTTACGCAAAACAAAACGTCAATTCGTTATAATCTTCGTTATTCAAAAAATCAATAGAATAAAGAAACGAGTGTTCAAGACCTTCCACGCCGTTAGAACTTATAGTAGAAGCAGCTGCATCTGCCACGAAGACTTTATTACCGAAATAATCGAGAAATAAGTACATGAGTAAAAACATTATACGCGTTTTATATCAATAATTATTCAAATCTCACATTTCATTTTGGCGATACATACTATTTCTTAATTGAACTTAATTTTAATTAATTCCTTAATCTCAAATCAAACTTTCGCGATGGGCATTACAAGAATTATATTTTTCACCGCCCTATAGTGTAATAATAAAATAAAATGCACATTTTCTTACTATAAAGATAACGCTTTATTACAACATCACCATCAAACATAAAATATCAGTTGGCCGTAATAAAAAATATTATATAAAACAAAGTGTGTTCAATTTTTAGTATAATTTTCGGAAAATAGTTAAAGTATTTTGTGTTTTAAATTTTAGATGGCCTTCTGCAAAAATACATTACAAAGACAACATGGGCGTCAAATTTGATGACGCCAATATTGAAGATTTAAAAGAAGGTATGAAATGTGTGGAAGACTTGTCGCGTTACGTTCGTATGTCTACGATGTATTACCATGATAAAAAATGTCAGAAAAATAACTATATAAAAACAAAACATATGGTAGATATTAAAGAATATATCTCTGTGCATAAAGAAAAGAACTTTTTGAATTTACACATTTTATTTGATGAACTTGTTAGAAACATATATCTGCAAGATCCACGGTAAGAATAAATGTATTTTAATTATTATTAAATATTATTAAACATTATTAGAATTTAATTAAATATTTTAAATATTATTAAAATTTTTAGTATATATAATTGATTATTGTGTATTACTTTTCTAATAAATATGTACATTTTCCAGCCAATCAAATTTAACAGAAAGATATTACACCATAAAAATATTTCAATATTTGAATCAATATATTTTTATTCAAAATGGGTTAAATATAAAGATAGATCCGTAACAGAACAGTGCTTGGAAGATATATAGTTGTCTCAATATTACAATGGTGTCATCCCGATAAATATATTACTGACTTGCTTTTTGATAATTCATAGACAATATTGTCAAAGAAGTATTACAGTCTTTGAAAAATAAAAATTCCCTGCATCCAATATTGTCGATATCGCCTGAACATTTCTCGACTTGGCGAAATCATTATATTAATGAAAATTATTGGAGCGAAACGCAAGCAAAATCGATTAAGTATGAACTCGATAAAATTATTGTAAATTTTGATTCTTATCAATCATGGATGGAACCGAATGAGATAAGTCTGAAATCGTTTAATCAGCTGGTATGTTAATATTTGTATATATGATGATTTTTATTATTTGTCACAAAT